CCAGATGTAATAAAGAAAATTAAACCCAAATCAACAGCAATAGCAATAAACTTATGTAAAGGATTGATTATTGAGGGTAGTGATAAAAACATTTTAGAAACACCTGCTAACTACATTATGAGAACTCTTAAAATACTATGTTCAACAATGATGGGAGCTAACATAGCTCAAGAAATATCACAAGGTATCATAAGCTCATCAGTTATTGGTTATAGAAATGAAAGTGAAATTATGCTATTGAAAGAAATTTTTAAAAATGATAGATTTTTAATTGAATTTATAGAATATAATGAAGCTATTGAAATTTATAGTGCAATAAAAAATGTAATGTCAATTGCTTTTGGTATCGTTGAAGGGATGATTGAATTGAAAGAGTTGGAAGCACACAAAGATAAACCTTTTAAACAAATAGGTAAAAACACATTAGCTTTAATATTTCAAAAGTGTGTTGAAGAAATGTATAAATTTTCAAAATTTATGACTGGGACTGATGATTGTTTATTGATGCTTAAATCATGTGGTGTTGGTGATTTATTTGTTAGTTGTGTAAGTGGAAGGAATTATATGAGTGGAAAACATATAACAGCTTTTTTCTATGAGAATTTAAACAAAGAAGAAACTTTATTTGAGTACCTTGAAAAAGTATTTAAAAGTCACAAACTACAAGGGTTAGAAACAGTGAAAACTTTAACACATGTTTTAGTTGAAAGAAAACAAATTGATGAATTTCCAATTATAAAAGCAGTTTACGAAATCTGTTTTGAAAATGCAAATCCTTTGTCTTTGATTTCATTGATAAAGGAAGAATAAAGTTTATTCAAAATTAATTGAAATCACATCATCTGTTTTATATTTTTTCTTTAAATCTTTACTTACTAAATAAAAATAATCAACCGGTAGTCCATAAGTATGCACTGCTTCAATATAACCTTCATAAAATTTAGCATGTAAGTATAAAACTTGAAGTTCTTTTATCAAACTTTTTAATTCAAAAGTATAATTTGGAATTTGGCCATAAAATTCATCAACTTTCATTATATCAAATTTTTCTTTTAAAATATCCAATAGTAAACCATCATCATTCTTATTTACAACCATTCTAAACACTTCACCACCATCAACAATTTTATAACTTTCAATAGTAGAAGCATCAATGATATTTTTAGAATGCTTATTAAAAAATTTTAAATTTTCTTTTTTAACCAAAAAATATACAAACTTAATGAATTTGTATTTGGTTTCATTAAAAACGGGTTTTGATTTTAAATCTTCAATATTGGTTTTATAAGAGTGAAAATTAGATATCAACTGATTCAATTTTGTTTCCAAATAAAGTAAAGGTTTTCCTTCAAAGTAACCATCTAAAATTTCAAAAGAAAACACAACATCCTGTTTATCAAATTTCTTATAAAATAATAAGATTTCGTTTAAATGTCTCTTTATAAGTTGACTGATTCTTTTTGATTCCTCCTCATACTTTATTATTTTACTAAAACGAATGTCTTCTATAAAAGGAAATTTAACTAAGTTTAATTTATGATTATTCTTTAAAAATATGTATAAATTCATATTATTATGTGTTACACAATCTAAATAATTTAAAATAAGTTGTTGATAATTAATTAATTAATTCATTTTATTTTGTTACAAAATTTAAAACAATCAAAGCCCTTTTTATGGATTCAAAGCAAGTAAAGAAAAAGATTGAAAAATTGTTAAAAGAAGATGCCAACAAGAAGTGTATTGACTGTGGATGTAGAAATCCAAGATGGGCATCAGTTAAATATGGAGTATTCTTTTGTATAGAGTGTGCTGGTCATCATAGATCAGTTGGTGTAAATTATGACTTCGTAAAATCAGTTTCTTTAGATGAATGGAGTGAGAATGAATGGTTTGTTGTTATGTATGGAGGGAATCAAAGGTTTAATAATTACATTAAAGAAAACAGAATTGAGATTGATAATATTTTTGATAAATACACAAATAATAAAGTAATGAGGTATTCACAAGATTTAATA